TTTAAAAATATTTACTTAACACTGAACATTTTTTTTAAACATTCAAGCAGACATTATACCAGCAAATCACAATTTAACTTAAAATTACTAAGTTAGTAAAATAATATTTGTTGGCCATTTTTGAGACCCCCTTCTTGAACCAGGCATGTATTTTTTTTACTGTACAAATAAATGCAGCCTTGCTGAGCAGAAGAGGCTTCTTTCAAAACATTAGACTTTTTTTGCACCCTCAGATTCCAGATTTTCAAATAGTTGTATCTCGGCCAAATATTGTTCTATCCTAACAAACCATACATCAATGTATCGTTAAATCTCAATTTAAAAAAAAAAAAGACCCTTATTACTGGTTTTTTGGTCCAGGGTATAATTTTTTAATCACATTGGAATCAATAAGCAGAATCGGAATCAGAATTGATCAATTTCAAACGATACCCAACCCTAGTTATGAAATCAATAAAGAACGGCTACATGCTTCAGTTCTTCCGCAGAGTGCCCCATTTCAACGGTGTGTTAATGTCCACTGTATGGGAGCAGAATGCCTCAGTTCTGCGAGAGGAAATATGGTTTTGTGGTCCAGGGTCACATATGTGAGACCATTCAGGGTCTTTATATTTTGGAGGACCACCCTACGATCTCTAGTCCACCAGAACACACCAAGGACCAGATATGCAGTCTTACCCTCCTCTGAGAGCTGGTGCTCTTTGGTCTCTTTCTCCATCTGACTGCACCATCCCTCCATCCGGCCCGTCTCGGCCTGCAGGAGCTTCAGGAACCAGTGACCGTCCCGCCGGCACGCCGTGGCCCCTGTGGCCCCCGTCAGCGGCTGGGCGGGGCCCCCGTTCCCCGTCCCGTTCCCGCTCTCCAGCCAGGGATCAGGCGGCGGGAGGGATGACGGGTCGAGGGCCGGATCCAGACTCTCGGAGAAGGACGAGGAGCTGCTCTGCGTGATCGAGCGATTGGTCAGGATCTGTCGGGAGGGGCCGCTGGTTGTCACCGCCACGCCGTTGTCATGGTTACCGTTGTCGAGGGAGAGCTGCGGAGGAGAGTCCACCGATTGGCTGGCGCTGTTGACCATGACTTTCTTCTCGGTGTGTTTGGAGTTGGATGGGAACGTCAGCGATGTGAGCGAGAGATCTTGCGTGTCTGAGTCCGTCTCTTGCCGAGAGGCCATACTACTGGAGCGGCTGAAACTAACACACACACACACACACACACAGAGTTATGAGTCAAATGACGTCACTTATACACACTAAACTACACACAGTCTCCCATTAGATTCTGTTTAACGCTGCACTAAACAGCAGAAACTAGGCCATATTTGAGCCGGAGCATGAAAATATATGCCCTATCGAGTGAGTACAGCTTGGCTCGGGATTCTGGCATCTTCGCAGAAACCGAGATGCATTTCTTTCAGGATTTTTTGATGAATAGCAAGTTCAAAAGAACAACATTTATTTGAAATAGAAAACTTTTGTATAATTATATTATAATTTAATTATAAATGCCTTTACTGTCATTTTGGTCAATTTAATGCTTCCTTGGTGAATAAAAGTATTATTTTCTTGTCAAAAAGAAATCTTACTGATATGTACATATCTATATAATAATTGCATTATTACAATAATGTTATTGCAATCTTTGCATTGTATAGTCTTGCACAGTTTTTGTTCTGATTTTCAAAAACAGAGCTGGTTGGTTTGGTTCAAGACTCTTTTTATTGATGAATCTTCTAAAAAGATTATAGAAAAACTGAATGAGGAAAAATACTTCCAGTACCAAGCCAAGGCTGCTGAAAAAGTGTCTGCTTACAGTTGAGTTCTGTTTCTGAGACGAGGTTTATTATACAGCGAGCGAGAAACAGGAAGTGAAACAAACTCACGTCCAGCCGTCCTCCACTTGAACTCCGATCGACTGGAATCTGGCCAGCGGTGGCGTCTCTACTTTAGCCTGGATTTCCTGAATGCAGTCGACCTACAAACAGCGGTGAAATATCAGCACTCAACTTAAAGGGGTCATATGATGCGATTTCATGTTTTCCTTCATCTTTGGAGTTCCAAGCTGTTCGTGCATATATAAGATCCGTAAAGTCGCAAAGATTAAAGTCTCAAACCCAAAGAGATATTCTTTATAAAAGTTAAGACTCGTCCACGCCCCCCTAAAACACCTCATTCAAACACGCCCCCACATGTCTATGTCACTGTGTTGGACGATTTGCATAACACCGCCCAAATGTTTACGCAAAGAAAGAAGGCATAACTTTTATTCTCGCTGTAGTATTGTTGTTGTGGAGATGCTGTGTGTTTCCAAATATGGTAAGGGATGTTACATTTCTGTCACATGCTTGAGGTATTCGGCCAATCACAATGCACTGGACAGCTGGCCAATCAGAGCACACCGTGCTTTTCATGCTTTTCGATAAGCTTTGTAAAAATCTACGCATTTCAGAAAAGCAGGGAAGAGAGAGGAGCAACAATAATGTACGGTATGTGGAAAATAATGTGTTATTGAACCTTAAACTGCGTAAACACATTGCATTACACAAAATACACAAAATAATGTTATTTTTAGCATTGTCATGAGTAGGGTTGGGAATCGAAAATCAATTCCAATTCCAGAATCGGATACTTAAGGTCAGGAATCGGATACTTGTTGCAAAATTAAAATATCAATTCCTGTGTGTGCAACTTTTTTTAGATGCTTATCAAAAATGTATTTGTCTTTGAATCATTCATTCAAGAGATTTATTCAAAAACACTGATTCATCTAGTAATGAAACTAAATCTCGAGTGAGTCGTTGAATCATTCCATTCATCCATTCCATGAGAATTTTACCCATCTTATATTTTTTTTTTTCAGAATTGTGAGAACTACGACCTCCATTAAAAAAAAGTCTAAATTTATCCAGAATCATGGATCTCTATTTTGCACACAAACAGCTCTTAATTGAGCCCAGTTTTTATGAAGCCGGCTGATTTTTATGTTCACGGTATTCAGCAGCAATTAAATATGTTTTGCAAAAAGAGACACAGAATAAATATGTTTGATATCTAAATGCATCTAAATCTTTTTTTTTTTAACCACATTGGAATCGAATCTGGGAATTGATATTTATTTATTCACTTTTTACCGCCATGCCAGCATCAAGGCTATTTTCATGGCGATCTCTGAATAAATTATACAAGGTATAAAATTAACAAAAGCTTAATATAAAAGACATTTCAGATGTACACTAGACAAAAATTCTAAAATACATTCTGGTGATACATTTTTAAATAAATCAGTTAAAAACACCTCTGAATAAAACCGTTGTCTATTTACATTAAAAACATTACAATCCAATAAAATATGAAGAGTTTATTTGCAAAAACAGATAACTCCGTTTTTTTAAATTTTCAAAAATCATGTTTTTTATTATGTAATCATGTTTTTATTGTGTTTTATTGTATTAGTTAGCTGTAATTATTAATTATTTTTTAACCTAATCAAAATAACCCAACTAAAGTTTGATTGAGATTAATTGGAATGCACAATGAAAAAACATGATTTCTGAGAATTGTTAAAAACGGAGTTTATCTGTTTTTGCAAATGCACTCTTCATATGTTTTTGGGAATCGATAAGAATCGGAATTGATCAAATTCAAACGATAC